ACATTCAAATTTGGAGAGAGCTTAAAATTTGACGTATACTGGTAGATTATCAGTATGTGATTGAGAGACACCTTTTCTCACTGAAGTCACAAAATATAAAAATCGACTAAATGTTCTTATATCGATGACACGCTAGAAAAATAAGCACGTGTTTTATCACATGGAAGAGAGAAAAGAGAGAAGAAAAAGATATATTTTCTCTTTTTCACAGTAAACACGAACTCATATATGCAGAACGGAAAAAGTGAAAAACTTAATTTTTAAACGTTCAGAAGCATTTTTATGCAAAACCAATTGGTACGAGGACTGACGACTAAGTGCATCCGCTATAGTGTCACTAAAACATATAGGATATTCAAAATTCGAACTGAAATTTATTGGATGAAAACTTTAGATTTAAATTAGCTTCAAATAAGATTTCATTCCCCCATATTTTTTTGTTATGCTCAAGCGTAGCTACTGAGATCTCCGATGAGACCGCCACTAACAGACTGTGCTGGAGATTCACGTGCGGCGCCCTCATCGGAGATCTCAGTAGCTACGCTTGAGCATAACAAAAGAATATGTGGAAATAAAATGTTATTTGAAGCTAATTTAAATCTAAAGTTTTCATCCAATGAATTTCAGTTCGAATTTTGAATATGCTATACGTTTTAGTGACACTATAGCGGATGCACTTAGTCGTCAGTCCTCATACCAAATGTGATATTCGGAATCTGCGTAAAAACCTGCATCGAATGAATATATAATTCGATGTGTTACAGAAAAAGGTTCTCAGTCAAAAATTTCGGTTGAAACTTTATGTCTGCCTTCAAAGAAAATTTGACAGGTTTTACTTTAGAAATACCAATGAAACTTTCGGAAAATTTCAAAATTTTTGTCAAATGAAGGGGACTTCTAATAGAGCCGTATCAAATAAGGGATATCTATATCTTTTCACTTCTCGGCAAATGTGAGCAAATGTCTATCGCGATCGTTTGTTAACGTATAGTGTGACTTTTTTATATGTCATGCACTGCGCATTTTGAAAAAGCTGAAAGAACGAAAAGCTAAAAGGATGAAAAGCTAAGAGGATGAAAAGTTGAAACGATAAAAAGTTGCAGAAGCTGATAGGATAAGAAGCTAATAAGATGAAAAGTAGAAAGGATAAAAAGTTAAAAAGATAAAAGCTGAAAGGATGAAAACATCTAGAAATGCATGTAAGGTGCTAGATAGTTTTTATTATTTCGAAAAGCATAGAAGCTAAAAGATAGCTACGTTCAAACAAAATTTCGGTTGAAACTTTATGTCTGCCTTCAAACTCAAACTTCAAGAAAATTTGACAGGTTTTACTTTAGAAATACCAATGAAACTTTCGGAAAATTTCAAAAGTTTTGTCAAATGAAGGGGACTTCTAATATATTTTTCACATCGACCTCTCCAAGGGGACCTTCTAATAAGGGGAGGGCTTTTAATAGAGGAGGGGCTTCTATTATTTGGGGGCAGTCTTTTTAACATCTGTAGTCCGCTACTTGTCTAAAAATATATAGTTTTTAACATCCAATGAATGATCTTTTAGCGCTGTTAAGTAGCCAATTTTTCTTATTAGACTTGATTGTGAAAACATGAATACTTGAATCTTTTTCAGTGGAAAATGATGCTTTATCAAATGCATACATGCATCGTAATCATTAGAATCGTAATGAATACCAATTAAATCGTGGGCTTCTTCTGTAGATTTGACCACATTTTCCTCCATCATCATTCGATCCAGAACATAAGCACCAAAACCAGCGCCGCGTCCATCATGCGTCAGAAGGAAAATGCCACCTACACCGTAGTCAATAATCTGTTGAACAGATTTTTTCAGTTTATCCCGATGCGTGACTCGTCGCAGTGGAAAACGGTTGAATAACGATTCACCATGTATTCTGACCATTGGGTGGTCGTTGATGGTTGGTGTGCCGTGAGTGAGAACTATAAACTCTTGACCAGTGACAATGTCATAGTAAACATGAACAGTGAACCAATAGGGCATTACAGTCAATTGGCTAACGGGATCATCTGGATTTTGTGTTTTGTAGCTTTTCATGTTTTTCATATCAATTTTAATTATGAATCGATTGTTACGAATCGATTTATAGCTGCGAATAACCGGTTTTGCAGCTGACATGTATTGATCAATTGGGTTTTGCTTGAATATTTCTAAGAATTGTTTATCGGTTAAAAGTATTTCAGCATCCACAGGTTTCATCGGCAGGAAATAAGAGGCAACAAAAATGAAACGTTTTGCATGCTCCAGTGCATGCGGCTTGAACGGTATAACGGGTTCAGGTGGTGCTGACCGATTTCGTATCAAAGCATCATCGATATACTTCAGTGTGTGACCACTAGCCGCTTTCGATGCCAAATAAACCAGATTGAATGGTGAAGGTTCAATTTCTAATGGTAAAGTGCCAGATATTTTCAAACCATGATCTTTTAGTGCTTTAATCTTATCCGGATTATTTGTCAGTACTATAAAACTGGCATCAATACCGAGTAGATGACATACTTGTGGAATGTTTTCATATTGTCTATGATCAGTTTTCAATCCCATAACATGATAGGCTTGAAATGTCGATATTTCGTCATCGGATGCTTGCACTAACATACGATCCCTTGATTTACCGATATAACCAGCACCACGACCTTCTTGCAGAAGATAAAATAAAATGCCCTTTTCGTTTTCAGCTATTATTTTGATAGCGCCTTCGAGCTGCTCTACACAGTCACAATCGCAACCGCGTAATGTTTCACTGGACACACAGGATGAATGTATCCGAACATGCAGTGTATCACTACTATGAATTTCACCGTATGTCAACGCTATGATATAATGTTTACTAATGAGATCTTGAAATATATAGGCATGAAACACACCAAAATGTGTGTCTAATTCACAATTTGCAATGTAGATCGTTGTTCCATGCAGTGGACGTTGATCTTTTACCATATCAAACGAAACATCGCCTTTCGATGATTTAAGACTACAAATAAGTGGACATAGATGGGCTTGCGGCGTCAACGATACTCTTCTATACAGTTTGCGCAGCTGTTCATCGCAGCTGTTGCTTTCGATACTGCCATTATCTAAACTAGCATCAAAAGTTACCTTTTTATCGTTGAAAACTTTTTCGATAATGCTACCAAAATTCGACATTTCAGACATTCTAGAAAAAGAATCATTTCGTTACACACTAACTCCAAGGTTTTACTAACAGACCAATCAAACTGCAAAACTTTAGATGTTTCAAGTATTTTCACAATAAAATAATTGAAGTCAAAGTGGTCGTAAGCAGTTACGAGTCATGATTGTACTGAAGGGGTACGTTTGCAAGTGAGTAATAATGACGTAAAATAACCATACTAAGTATGTCATTTATAAAATGTATTTCAATGCACAGGCAGCATTTTGATTTTCAAAGTAATAAAGTATTTCTTTGTATTTCTTCTTTTTTGTGCATGCATGATGTATTTAGGGAGGCGGACATTGTTTACAGGTACGCTTCTTTCTATTCTATTTCAGATTCTTTGAATATACAAGGATAATTATTCAAACAAAAACACAAAAAGAAGAAAAGGTGAATGTACTAGCAAGTATCCTTTTCTGAAGAGCTTGCTTATTTTGCTGCTTATTCATAGTCATTTGTTTTATTATCCGATAAATAAGTATCAAACACGATATGTTAATATGAAATATTAGAAGGTGAACGTTATTTATGATATATTATGACTTCGTCGAAGTCGAAGCTGTCACAAATAATCTAATAACTTATAAAAAAATCATAAGTAGAGTAAAAAATTTAAACTTAAAGTATAATGAAAATCATGTCTAATATTTTTCATTTTTTTGTGGGTATTTTCCCTCTTTAAAAGAAGAAAGAAGAAAACGTCATTGTCTGTTACAAAGAAAGAAATTTGTGCCTGAAAATTTTTCTCATATTCTTTTTTCTTTATCCATCATTTTACTATACAAAGTTAAATAATAATTCTATTTACTTTATATTTTTAATTTCAATTTCGTGTTAACACTTTTAAATTCCTCTGATACTCCTAATAATAGAAAATGTTTTTTTCTGAACGTCGAATAAATAAATGATAAAATCAAATTAAATATGAATTTTAAAACAGTTGCTATTATTATGTACCCATCAACAAATTCAATATCTAAGTTTCTCGACCTGGAAATTTAATCCAAATGATTCCTTGGAATTTCGTTTTTTACAATGATTGTTAAGGAGTACTAAATACGACGTTTTCTGAAAAGTGTCAATTTTAAGCATTATCCAAAAAGACGTTTCCAAATATAGCGAGAAATAAAAATCTCTAAGTTCTATAGAAACGTACTTAAGATACTACAGTCGGTTACATTTTAAAGGACATCCAATGGGTTTCTAGCGTAATGAGTCCGATTTTGATCACAGTTTAACTTCATTATTAAATGTGTCCTTCCTTGTACAAGTCACACGTTATGCATCCGCCATATACTATTACTAATAAGAGTTGCGATTTAAGTCTATTGGTCCTATAATCTTTCCATTCCGTTTTTTTCGAAGTTTCATAAAATAATCAGTAAGAAAGAGAATAGAGACAAACTGAAAAGAAACCAGTGATCAAGTTTCTTTTTCAATAATTAGAGAAGATTCATTGCACTCGATATTTTATTCCGGTTAAGGTTCATAACACTTGTAGTAGGTGTTTGAATTTTCAAGGGTCTTTAACCGAAGATGCATGAAATGTAATTAATATTAACGCCAATGGAAAAAGATGTTTCATGATCTGGTTCACTACCTCACCTAACCCTCCATAAAATTCAGCCTCAATTCTTTTGGAGGATTTCAATGCATCTGAAATCGATTGATATGCGTAGTTGCTGGTCACTTTATGATTCTTTGCAAATCTAAGGCTTGTTGGAGTTTTACATTTCGGAGCGTACTAGGAGATCGTGCACCTTTTTGTACCTATTGCCACGTGCTTTTGCTAGAAAAGAATCAGTCTTACGTAGCTTTGCTCCCCCTTGTCTTGCCCTTTGTTCTTCTACCACTCATGACAGGAATCTGGCAAATAAGGTGATATCTTTTCTCGTACATGCAGTATATTCGTAAACGAATGTGTGAAATGTTTGTCTCCTTTTGTTCTCTTTCCCTGTATGTAGAACGTGCAAAAATCAGCTCAGCATTGTTTTCATTCACCGTTTTATACTTGCAACGCTTTTTTAAACAATGCGCTGATAGAGTTGGAAAATCAAGTTATAAATGTGACTCTGCTTGATTCTTTTCTTATTTAGATGGATCTGAGACTTCGAGTTGCGTTTCTCATTCGCCAATCAGGTTGAAACAGTGAATTTTTTGCGACAGGAAATTCGATGAAAACACAAGTTAAGATCGTTTAGATCTATGTTCCATCGTCTCGGTTTATCACCACTTTAAGCTATTTAGCAAAGATACGACAGAGATGTGACACAAAGAAATAGAAAGATATGCTTAGATACGAGAGATAGATATGGATGTGCTTAAATACGAAAAGGCACATCTTTCTTTTCCTTTCTGTCATATCGTCGAGATATCTTTCTTTCGTTTGACCCATCTAAGCATATCTTTCTTTTCCTTTATGTCACATCTTTCTATTCTGTAGTGCAGCGTGGTTTCTCTACTGAAATATATTAAAGTGACTGTGATGATAACAAGGCGGACGATGGAGCACAGATCTGAATAACTTTAACTTGTGTTTTCCTTAGATTTCCTGTCACAGAAAAGTTACTGTTTCAACGTGATTGGCAAGTGTGAAATGTAACTTGAAGTTTGAGATCCATCTAAATAGGAAAAGAATCAAGCAGAGTCACCCACACAGAGTTTCCCACTTCTTCGGCACATTGTTTAAAAAAGCATTGCAAGAATAAAACGGTGAATGAATACAACGCTGAACTATTTATTGCCACGTTCTTCACACAGTGAAAGAGAGAAAGAGAACAGAAAAATGCTTTGGATTTGCGGCGGTCGGGACTAGTATTTCTAGTGTTAGAACACCTACGCACCATTTGTTTTCAACATCATATGATGATGTCCTCGTACCAATTGGTTTTGCATAAAAATGCTTCTGAACGTTTAAAAATTAAGTTTTTCACTTTTTCCGTTCTGCATATATGAGTTCGTGTTACTGTGAAAAAGAGAAAATATATCTTTTTCTTCTCTCTTTTCTCTCTTCCATGTGATAAAACACGTGCTTATTTTTCTAGCGTGGCATCGATATAAGAACATTTAGTCGATTTTTATATTTTGTGACTTCAGTGAGAAAAGGTGTCTCTCAATCACATACTGATAATCTACCAGTATACGTCAAATTTTAAGCTCTCTCCAAATTTGAATGT